AGGGACGGCTAGTGCAGATAGCCCTCGTGTAGCTTTGCGCGAAAATTCAAAAAACAAACAAACAAAACAAACTTTTGTCAGCTGGGAACTGCAGGACTTAATTTCCTTCTAGTTTTGGTGTACTCTACATAAAATAGTTTGTTTCAACTTTTCAAAGTAATGCCCCAAAACAGAACATTTTTTGGGCAAAAATATAATCTTAATGCATTATAGATTTTTTTACTCAATCAAATCTTTATACATTCCTATCAATAGAGTAAAAGAAGAGAAAGACCTGTATTGAAAACTTGTGTATATTTTCTTTTTTTGGAAAAGAGAAAACATTGCTTCCGACTTTCTCTTTGTTGTTGTCCCCCCCTTTCCCTTTTTTTTTTCTTTGAATGGGTTCTGCTCAGCTCGGCATAACGCAAGCCATGGGAGAACGAGGAGTACCCGCGTGTGTTCATAAGTGTGTAGAAATGAGTGAATAGCAGGGTTAGCGCTCTAACCAAGCGTGAAATGGTAATTTGCGGTTAAAAGGCACTAGGTGATAATCAGTTTCCACGTTAACTGAGCATGGGTAAATATGCTGAAGTCGGTGGAGGCTTGAAATCAGCGTGACTCTGTCGAACTAAGGGTGAGAGAGCGCAGCATCCGACCTTATAATTATTTTAAATTACATAGTTGAAACTTTAATGTAAGTACAATGCAAAAATTAAAGAATCATTTTGCATAAGTGGCAAACATATGCATGCAGATGTTTGAACGTAAGTGTATATCTAATTATACTCAAACTCTTCAGTTATGTTTCGATAAAAGATACTATGAATAAGTTTCCATTATATTGTTTGGAAACATGTTTTCTACGTATATCAAACGTTAAATTCTCATATGGTGTTTTTTTAAAGTCAGAGCTCGAAACAAAGACTTTTTTCATTGTCTTTTTTTTTGTCGATTCTGTAATCCTTAATTGCAAAAAAAAACGTATCACTGATAACAAAAAATATATAGAGAGAGATATACCCCATGTAAAATCATAGTACTATGCATAGATGCCGTGGATTACTCCTTAAATACAAACGAGAATTCCATTTTCTAAATTTTTTTTTCATACGGTTTGTGATATTCGTAGTAAATAATTGTAGAATTGTGAAAAAAATAAACCATAACCGATAAAATCAGCTTCTTTGCAAGACCTTACTTTAAGGTAAACATATATATATATTTGTGGATTTTTATAACATTATTTTATGTCAGTGATGTAAAAACATTCTATTTAACTAATATTTTCTATCTTCTTCTACAGATTCAGAAAATATTGATCATTTGGATGTTGAAGATGATCGAATTTCATTTGATAAAGGACTAAATATCAGAAACATTAATGTCCAAGAAGTTGAGAATGTAGTAAGCTCTCCACAATCTGCCTCTGGCCATGAAACTTCTTGTTCTTCAGATTCTGTGGGACAATCTCCTTCGGTAAGTCGGTCCACTGACAACCATAGCCCCAGCATTGAAGCCTCAACTAATGCAACTAAACCGAAAATCTGGTCCATAGTGGACACTGCAACATCTAGCTCTCCTTCCTCCTTAGTGTCAAGTAAAGTAAATTCCCTCCAAAGAACAACACGTCTTGATTACTTGGCCCCATATACCAAGTCTACATGGTACACAAGCGCTTTTGAGAAAAATGCATTTCCCTTAAACTCAGTGTACAGTGGTCCATCAGTTGCTCCACCAGCTGCTCCTCTAACCGCTGCAACTTCACAAAACTCCTCTCTAGTCTCGTCTACTGGGCTTTTGGAGACTTCACCTTCATCAACATCACTGAGTCTTCTCCGTTCTGCAGCAGTCGCCTTTCCAGCTAATGAGTTAAATATGCAGAAAGCAAGATCAAGTGCTTTACCGTCGATGTTCAATCTCCCATTACCCGGATCTCGTTTAATCTCGTCCGTCCCGCAAACGTCTAGCTCCGCGGCCGTTTTGGCGGCTGTTTCTGGTAGATCTTTGATTTCTGCTAGCCATACTGGTTCAGGCTCAGACAGAAGTATTATGTTATCTTGAAGATGAGTAAACGTCCACCAGAATAATGTAAATAATGAAGTCCATGAGATTGTTTCTTGCTTTCTGTGAGACAAAGTATCAGATGGTAGGTACAAATCGAATTTCGTTTTTTGATCATTTTCATGTAACTGTCTCGTATTCCTGAGATAATCTCACTGCTTATGACATTGTGGATTGAAAATGATGTTATTTGAAGACTACGTGGAATAGCAACTTATGGCGTGTGATTTGTGGTAGCACACAGAAGAGGACTATGTCAGAACTCCGAGGTTTGGCGTTAATAGAGGGCATGCATACCTCAATTATATAAATTGACGTGTAATTAACCTCAATCACGAACATGAAAACAAAACAGGGAAACATTCTCATTAATATACATCCTGTGCAGGAATATACGTAATTCTTATTTCAATTCTTACTGGTTGACTGGTTGGTTTCGTATAACGATAAAAAGTTGTAGTATATAGTCAGATTCCCCTTATATATCATAAAATACTTCTCTTAAAATAATAAATGTATTATTTTGTGATATAGCTATGTACACAAACACACACACATATATATACGTTAGTGTTGATATCACCAAGCAAGAGTATTTGGATTAGATAGATTATTACTTGAAAACCAATCCTGACGATGAATATAATAATTAAAGACCAAGGTTAGAATAGCATATTTATATCTATCATAATAGCCACAGGTGAAGGTTTAAAGGAGAACTATAAGCCAATTAAAGTACAGTAAAACAGAGTGTTGACAACCACAATATCCTACACTAGACAATGTGAAACATGCACACTTTACTGAGTTTATTTATTCTAAGTAGATTCATGTCTTTGGAAAAAAAACTATAATTATAAAAATGATTTAATTAAAGAAAATCTGGAGTGACTGAGAAAGGTATTGTTTGAGCAAAATATCAATATATATATAATGGACGAGGTTTTGAGTTTGGTTTAATCTTCTTTTTGAGTTTAAGTTTCATGAAAGGGATGCTTAAATCCATGTATACACATATATCACGCTTCTCTGTAGGACAAAACTCTAATTTCACAAAAAAGAAGTAGGGCTATGTTTTAACCCAAAAATACATAAACACCATGTAAAACCTATCAAGTGAATGAATTAATAATGAATTCGTTATGGAAATACATATCGGACATAATACGTATTGAATTAATAAATATTGAAAGCGACTGTAATTTGAAACGAAATATATTGGACATAAACAAATTATGTCTCCTTTAATACATTCGGTGTTGTCCTTAGTTAAAGATACCAATAATAAGATCAAAGTATTAAACAATATATAACGGTTTATTAATATATATATATATATATAACTGTATTATTTAAAATTTTAAGATATATTCTGTAAGCCAATTTAATTGTCAAAATACCAGGTTAGAACTGCATAAATACAAACTTAGAATATCTTAACATAAGCATTTAATTGTTCATGCTAACACCATGTTTACATAAAACATAACAACATGCTGTTTAGAACATAACACGAGAATCCATATTAACATATTCATTATAACGTATACATTATAACAGTCACCTATAAAATATGATGTAATTCTAAGTTAGTCACACAGTGTCAGCATATTGCCATGGAAACTCCGTGACTCTACTGATCGTAAGTGAAGTTTTACATATTTTCCTTTGTTGTTACTCCATTAGATCGAAGTTTCTTCTCTAGCGTTTCGTGAAAACTATAGGTATATCTTCCGTGATTAACAATATAATTATGACTGATAAGTTAATGTAAAACAGTTAGAACGTATGTTGAGGCTCATATTGATATGTAGTAAAGCATTATACAGTCACGACACGAAAGTTTTATTACATCATAAGGATATGTATAAATGTTTAGTTGTAATTAATACGTTGTCCTCAGTGTATCTAAAGCTATAATTAACGACTTGCAAATATCTATACACGTTTTAGTATTACTAAGATAATATTCATTGAAATGCAGAAGATACTCTGAAATTAATATCCCTGTATCTTTTCCAGTGAATAATACTTTCCATGGCAGCTGTACTGTATATATAACGAGATATTTCTTTTTTGTGGATAGGACGAGAACCTCGTTGATATCAATATCTAAGAAACCAATCTTAATTCACTTTTTAATGTCCGTTAACATACACTATTTTTCTCCCTTATTTTGCCGGATTATCTGTAAACAACGTACATTTTAATCTTTTATGTTTTGCTGCAAACTTCATCATGTAATACTTGTCGAAACTGACGAATATCTGGACCTATAAAGGTAAAAATAAACTAATTAAGATCTATGAACGTATAAAATTAACAAATACAATGTTTTTAATTACAGAAAATATTCTACTGTAAAAATAAATATTTCAGAATATATTTCGGTCCCTTTTGAAGTAACTATTTGAAAAATGGTCAGCTTGAAGATGAAATATAATAAATATTTGTTGTAATTCTTAATGATCGTCTTGGCTATTCATAATTATCATGTGAGTTCACGTAGAGTGTAACAAAGTTTAGTGTTCAAAATTAAAATTATTACAATATCAAAATAACTGAATATCTTAAGTTTGTTATTTATACCAAAATACCTAATGAATCTCTCGTGAAAATTTCAAATTATGTCTTGTGTGTTATGATATTTCCTGTTTTTCGAGCTACTGAGTTGTTTGAATCAATATAACACAAGTAGCCTAAACGTTGTAAATGTTGAAATAATTGTTTCCATATATAATTCTACTGTTGTGTATGGGATGGTCTAGAGCAGGCTCTGATATGTTTCTTAATAACTTTGTGTTGTTTGTTTATTTGTTTTTCAGGTTTGTTTGATTTTATTTCGACAACTGTTTTCCAGCGGTTTTTGAAATTCTATTGCATGATCTGATTTTGTCTTTCACTGATTGAGTACGATATTGTAAATTCTTTTCATAAACACTCTTTTTGTGAGGTTATTTACAAAAATGGTTTATATAAGGTTTGAGATAATAATATGGTATAGGTAAAAGTAAACTTTAATTGTATATATTTATATATAACGTGTGTTAAGTAAGAAACATATCTTTGATAGTGTATTTACATGTATACTCCCATCACAACAAGTTAGGGATGATCTTATGGCTAATGTTGATAAAGAAAACAGCTTGTGGTATATAAATTATAAAACATTTTGATATGTACTTGCACTTGTACATAATGTAAAGTACGAAATAAAGCACCTTCCAAAAGTAAATGGTATCGCGTCAAATACTTTGTAAACATGTTTCTCAAGAAACGAATAGTAAAATTACTTGCATTACTGTATTCCAACCGACATGTGAAGAACGCTTTAAAACTAGAATGTCTGGACCTTGAAGGAAAACTCCTTAAGGTTAGTATTCCTGGTGAATCTTGAGTTTAAACTATATATATTTGTTAGCCTGGTTTGGATGAAAAAATGTATTCAAAAGAGTAACCACGTTTAATAAGGGCTACATTTGATTCTTTTAATCTTACTTATTTACATGAACCATCTTACACCATAGTTGGTTATGTTGCATCCTCGTTCGTTGTGATGACTTTTTTAAATATTTTTCCCATATTAATGTTTTGAACAAAACCACTTTCAAATGTAAATTTAAGAAAAAATTGAAAGGCGTATGTGGGAAAGGGTTATCATTCAATTATAACGCACTATCAAATACATGTGTGTCAATTCTTACTTCACACAAGAAGAAAAGTTCAGTGATCGTACGATTTATCTAAACCAAAAGAAAACTCATTTTTATACTCTGTTTCAGGCGACTATGCATATGATATCTTGTTGACACAAGGCTAAAAACAGTAGTACTAAACTTATTCTTTTTAATAATAACCAAGTGCTGACTTTCTTGTATTAGTATAGTAATGTACACAACTATGTAATGCTGGAAAGCACAATGATTTATGTATTCTATGATAAGTTTAACATCATTCTGATTTCATTTTTAGAGTATAATTGCCTGGTAATAATTATTGAATATTTGCTAACAAATGTTACTATGAATTCAGTATAAAATAACTATTTGTTAATCTTAAACAAAAATCTTCGAGTCATTTTAAAGTGCGAATCTTTATAAATATTGTGAACATTTGTCTTGACGAGAGAGACACAATATTTTATTTGATGTGACTATGAAAGTGGAATCACAAAACCAACGTAGGCCTATTTAAGTATAGAACACATTGAAAAGAAATGAGTAGTCAAACATGCATTTGTAACGCGTGAAGAAATTTAGAGTATATAATCACACACTAATATCGTTAAAAAATTAAACAACGAAAAAATACATTTATATTTAAAATAACGAAAATGGAAATAAAATACTAATATATTAATGAAAATGTAGAATAGAAAGAATTCTACATCACTTCTAATATATACTTGTATATAATATATGTTATATCTAATTTATTTTATTCCTATATTCTGTTATTTAGCATAATTCATTCCATGCAGTTTATATATGTATATATATATATATATCTTTTTTTTAACTTGGTATCATAATGTTATTCCACTTAGCTAAGTCATATTCACATTGTTTTCAGACTTCGTTGATGATGGAGCAAGTGTATTAGGAAATGTTTGACACATATTTAAGTAATTTTGTTCTTATAAACATCACCTTTGCTTTCATTATTTGTTTGCCTTCAATTTCCTTTTTTTATGAATCTGTCGTCAACGTGTTTAATTTCGTGAAATTTCAATGCATACTACCATAGGTTTTGTTTGCACAATATAAATTTAAATCGATTATTCACAAACCCAAATATTGTTGAATCAATTAAATTCCACCCTAGCAGCAAACTACACTTTATACTGATTATTATTATCAAATTACGAATGTTAGTGTTTATTTAACAATACACTTTTCCAGTATTATAAAGATCAAACATCCTCTCTCTATTTTTTATTTCATTTTTGTTTTTGCAGTTTACATAACAATGCCTATTTTCCACGTTTGCAGCTTTATTGCGTATTTTAAACCGTCTTTTGTATTCAAAAAGAGTTAGAGGTAATTTCAAACAGAAGAGTTATCTTAAAAGGTTCCTGTTTTTTCTAACAAAAGGTAGTTAAATTCATCACTGTTTCCACGCCCTTTGTGACATAAATGTCTATTTTATGTTTTCCCTGCATGCCATTTCGTGAATCCTAGGACAACTGAAAGAGTGACATTGCAATAGAAGAGAGCTGTTGAAGTGAAAGCACAAACGGAAAGCGTTATCTTTCATCGTTGTTCTTTTTATTGTATTTAAATTTTTACATTCAATTTGAGAAGAGGGATGTAAGTACCTAACGTTAAAGCAAAAGTCGAAATATTATGTGAGTTGCTAAAATTGACCTTGTTACTCATAAACTAATTAGAAGTTTTAACTATTTTTATTCTTCTAACTAAAAATAGGGTAATTATTTAAAATAGTGAATAGATTTGTTTTGTCGCA